GTTTTGTTGGGGGGGGGGGGGGAAAAAAAAAAGGGAAAAGAAGGTTTTTGGGAAAGGGGGGGGATTTTTTTTGGGGGGGGGAAGGGGGGAAAAGGGGGGTTGGGGGGGGAGGGTTTTTAAGGGGTTAAAAAAATTTTTTATTTGGGGGAAGGGTTTTTTTTTTTTTAAAATAATTTTTTTAAAAAAAAAAAAAAAAAAAGGGAAAATTTTGGGGTTTGGGAGAAATTTTTTTTTTTTGGGGGTTTTTTTTGGGGGGGGGAGGGGGGGAAAAAATTTTTGGGGATTTTTTTTTTTTTTTTTTTTTGGTTTTTTTAGGGGGGGGGAATTTTTTTTTTGGGGGGGGGGGGGGGGGGGGGGGGGAAAAAAGGGGGAAAGGGGGGGGGAGGGGAGTTTTTTGGGGTTTTTTTTTTTATTTTTTTTTAGGGTAAATTTGAATTAACAAGGGTTTTTTTTTAAGGGGGGGGGAAAAATGGGGAATAAAAAAATTTTTTTGGGGGAAAAAAGGGGGGGGGTTTTAAAAAAATTTTTTGGAAATTTTTTAAAAAAAATGGGGGGGTTTGGGGGGAAATTTTTTTTATTAAAAAAAAAAAAAAAAAAAATAAAAAAGGGAGGGGGGGGAAAATTTTTTTTGGGGGAAGTTTTTTTTTTTGGGAAAAAATTTGGAAAATTTATGTGCGCGCGAAAAAAGAGGCGCGATTTGGGGGGGGTTAGGAAAAATTTTTTTTTTTGGGGATGGAAATTTTTTTTTTTTAAAAAAATTTAAAAAAAATTTTTGAGAAATTTTTTTTTAATTTTTTTTATTTGCCTTTAAAACAAATAAACAAAAAAATTTTTTTTAAGAGGGGGGGTTTTTGGGGGCCAAATTAAAAATTTTTTTTTTTAAAAAAAAAAAAAATTTAAGGGGGGGGGGGGAAAAAAAATTAAAAAATTTGGGGGGGGGTTTTTTTTTTTTAATTTTTTTAAAATTTTTTAAGGGGGGGTTTAAATTTCCCCCCTTTTCCCCCCCCCCCCCCCCCCCCCCCCCTCATTCAGATATCACCACAAGGTAAAACTACGTTAGAGTAGTGTTTGTGGTGATGAGGAAGAAGATAGAGAGATGCAAGGAGGCATACAAGACGGTACGTATGTACAAACAGATTTGTATAGTATAATAGGAAAGAGACGGACCAGGCCCGAGTAGTTTGGCTGTTGATTAGATTGATGAAAAAGTGTTGTGAGCCGAATGACAGACTGACTGTGCGCTCACATTCTACATCCCTTCTTTAAAATAAATATATAATATGTACGAATGGGTCAAGTTCACGGTCATGCTCCCAAAGTAATCAACGAGTCCTCGGCCTTGTCGTCCTCTGGACAAATGAATTTGTGTTTGAAAATGTCAAAATCGTCATCTTCATCTGACGAAGGGTCCGAGGCATCCGAAGGAATATCTTCATCGGGACCTAGTCCTAGTCGTCGTCTGATTCTGTCTTCTTGGGAAATTAACATGGACTTGGGCTTTGTGTCTGGCTTAGTACGTGACATGTTTCTGAACTTTTCCAGCCGTTCTGAAACAACAGTGTCAACTTCTGTGGTCATGTCTTCTGCATCTTGCACGTGATGGGTGGTGGTTGCTTGAACGGCAGCAGGTTCCGGTTGTTCCGCGGACGCCTCCACCTTGGGCTTCTTTGCGACGTTGGTGTTGTCCTTCTTGAACTTGTCTTCAACCAGCTTGGAGACACTCTTTTTCGTAAAAACAGGCTCCTCATCGTCGTCATCGTCATGGTTCACCTGAAGCTTTCGTTTTGGCTTCTTCGGTCTATCACGTGAACCAGACTTGTTTTCACGTGACTCCGCGTCGGCGCCCGCGTCGGCGCCCGCCTTTTGTGTCTCTTGCACCAGCCCTCCTCCCAGCACTATCTCCACGTTCTGCACCGTTTGAACGTACATCGGGTATCCATCTTCGGTCAATTCTCCTCGAGCGATATCTTGGGCGTTGTAAATAGTGTCTCCGGTGATTTTTCCAATCACAGTTCCGCTGAAGGGGATTTCTTTGAGAGCAATAAAGAACTCCGTGGTGGCAGAATTGGGGACCCGTCGGTTGTTCTCGGTGTATTCGCTAGCCATGGCCAAGTAGCCTCGTTTGAGTTTGATTCGGGTATGTGGTTCGTCTTTAAGCTTAGGGTAGCTGTTTGTGTTGTTTCCAGCCTCCTGTTGGCCACATTGGATCAGTTCTCCCGGCAGCACTCGGTAGAACGGCTTTGAGTCGTAGTATCCGGACTTGCAGAGCTGCAGGAAGCGTGTACAAGCCAGCGGCACCTCTTTGGCAAATAATTCCGCCTCAATGGGGCCTTTAGTGGTCGTCAGCACCACCTTGGCGGTCGTTTGGGGCTCCATGGTGGTGATGTAAAAGTGGTGATGGCAGCTTTGGAGGTGGAAAAGACGTGCATGAGACATGTGTCTAATAATAGGTAGGGTAACTCAGGGTAGTTGGGAGATTAGTTGAAGTGACTGAGGAGGTTATTAAGAGTTTGTTGAGGACATCTGGGACGGGGTATTGTGGGCGGTGTAGTGATGATAGTGATTAATTGGCTTAATTGTCATGAGGTAGTTGTTAGTGGAGGGTTGGGGATGAAGTAGGATATTTTTCAAGTATATGGCATCTATATTAAGTGATTTAGGTGATGTTTTTGGGGCTACGTTACGATGAGACGTATTTGGTGGGGACGATGAGATGTATAGGGGCTGCTAGAACTCATTTGTTAACTGAAATTGGGGCATATATAGGTATCAGAGGCTTTTTCGTGGCCATCAACTATCATTCCAACAGCTTTTAGTGACATGTTGATACTTCACTGTTCCAGTTTGGTCGGGAGCCAGATCAAAAGAGCCAGTCAGGGACTGAGTGTGAGTCTGGAAAGTGGACAGAGTGGCAATAATCATCCACATGTGCCTCGCACTTGACACTTGACACCTCACACAACTCTCTCAACCCCCTCATCAAACAACTCCTCTGCGCCGACCAAAACCACTCGTGAAACAACATGTTCTCTTGTAGTCGAGTGTCGCACGAGCGGAATCACTGGATACGAGTCTTGGGTTGACACAGAACCATACGACTGGGGTCTGGACTCGGTTTCGTCCTCGGCCGCCTCGGGAGCATTTGGTATGTTGGTCTCAGAAGCATTGGTAGTGGTGGACGTGTTGGTATCGGTTTGGGTATCTATCGTTCTTTGGGTAACGTTTTTGGGAATCACGGGCTGGGTGTTGGTCACCCACTTGACTAGTCGGCTCGCGAGCTGCTGGATCTGCAGTTTCCAGTCCATTGTAGCGGTGTAGGGTGGTACTGTAGCGTGATAGCGAAGTCTTGGATTGTGTTTGTTATGATGAAGAAATATGCTCACTATTTAGAGGAGGGGGGTTTAAGTTAGTTGGAGAAATGGAAGGGGTAATTTGGGGTCTATCTAGAATGGTCATTATTGGTGCCAGCGAGTTTGTAGAAAGATGAATCTGATGCTGGAGAGTAAAAGAACCGAGTTATGTACTTTTACGTGCCACGATCCAACCCCATTGTCTCCAGAAATGCATCTTGGTGGCTCGTCTAAATATTAGCTCTCGAGCATCATTTATTTAGCCGCCGGTCTAGCCGTCTACCAGAAGTTGAGATCACTGGCGAAAGGGCAACATGTTCAAAGTATGGGGGAATGCTTGGTACCAGAAGAGAGCCCGTGTTTTGGGGCGTATAGTGTTGTTTTATATTTGCTTTACCACTCTACCACTTCTGTGGTCCAAATTATAAAATGAATATACAGAGTAAAATGAATAAACAGTAAAGTGAATAAACTGAGTAAAGTGAATAAACTGAGTAAAATGAATAAAAATGTATCAGAGAATAAAAAGAGAATAAAACAGAACAAAACAGAACAAAACAGAACAAAACAGAACAAAACAGAACAAAACAGAACAAAAGAAACAAAAAACTCGCAGCAACAAGACACCAAATACAAGTACAAAACAGTACATACAGTAACCAATAAAAGCTCCAATAAACAAGCCCTGCATGAGTCGGATAATCATATTGGCCACCTGCAACCTACATTCTCCTGGCGATGGCGAAGCAGACATTTGTTGAGCAGTGGATGAGCTCATGAGCTCATGAGTGAAACTTTTTTGGAACAGATATTTTCATGAAACAGATTTTACTCTGACTATATATAACTTTTACAAGTACAGCACAGTAGAGTATCTACAAGTAGTGTAATATATACTCTAGATATATATATATAGACTTGGTCATACTATACCTAACGCCGAAATCCGATGGCCAACGCAGCGACCAATGCCATTCAACCCACCAATTCCACATCGACCAAAAGCAGGGGCAAAAATAAAAATCCGCTATATTCAGTATACACTACAAGGACCCATTTCCTTGTCCTCATGCTCGCTTATCAGCACTTGTCTGGGCGATATAGTCTTGGCGTCGGAGAAGTGAGCTACATTGTAGTGGTGTACTGTACGTACGTTGGTATGGTATGGTTCAATCTATGTTCTGTAGTATGTTCCATCCATTGTAGCTACTGTACTCCTTTTAGTAGTACGACAGTACACTCCCATTTGTAGTACAGCACACACTGCTCCATGCTCCATGCTCCATGGTCCTTCCTCCTTCCTCCGTCCTCCTTCCTCCATGCTCCGTCCTCCATCCGTCCTCCATCCCTCCGTCCTCCCTCCGTCCTCCCTCCCTCACCACTCACATGATTGAAGATCACATGAGAGGCAGTGCAAAACATACACCCCGACCCCAAGCCCCATTGCTTCCAACTCCGCCTCGCAACACTCCGCCCCAAAAGGTGAGCTCCAAAACTCCCGAAACTCCCCTTGTGGAAAAAGGTTCACCGGTTCGGGATTTACAACTGACCTGGGGTACAGCTGCAGAGACACAGCAAGCGGCCAGAACGGAGTATCCAACGGCGCGGGGACGGGCGGCGGGGTCATGTGACCGCGAGATTCGGCGTCGTCTCGGCTCCACGGTTCGATTCGTACCCCATTCCTGCGGTTTTGCGTCTCTCTGTCGCTCCTCTTTCGCCCCAGATGGTGTCCAGATAGCCTCCTTCTAGACGTCAGCCGCGCGGATTAGACGTTCGATTTACGCCGCATGATGCGTCTATATATACACGTGGATACGAGATGCAAACTCTGTTTCTCCCCCTCCCCTCAGTTACATGGAGCCAGTTGTTGGTCTTAGTGGGCTTGGCCAGGTATATATATATGTGTGGTACTGAAGTTGGCACAGACACAGTCTAATCAGTGAGCAACAGAGATCAAATCGACTCACCACTCTTGACCGACTCTTGACCGACCCACCAACCACTCACCAACCACTCACCAACCACTCACCAAAGCAACTCTTGACCTAGACTCATTCCCATGTCTCTCGTAATTGCCACCCTTGTATCCACCGTGATTGCAGCCGGCATTCCTGCCAACGTTGTGGTTCGACAGAATCCCAACATCCCCAACTTGCCCAACATGCCCTCGGAGCTGGCGGGTCTTCTGGACGGAGTCAACATACCTGCTGACATGGCAGGGCTTCTGGGCGCCACCAACGTGGCTGGACTGGCCGGACTGCTCAACGCTGAAGATATGCAGCACGTCAGCGAGGCTCTCCAGTGGGCCGGAGACTCGGAACGAATGTTCAACGACCCCCGATACCAGTCGCTTCAGAGCATTGTGCTGTCCCCCGAATTCTCCACCATGAACGAACAGGAGATGCGAAGCGTCAATCAGGCCATTGGGTCCATCGCGGCCGAGTATCACTCCAATAACCCCGCCTGGCGCACCCGGAGCGACTGGGGGGACGACGACGACGATAACGATGACGACGATACGCGAACCTTTAACCCCGCCATGGTGGCCACCGGAGCCGGTAGCAGAACTACTGGTGCCTCCAGAAATGATGACGACGACGACGACGATACGCGAACCTTTAACCCCACCGTGGTGGCCACCGCAACTGGTAGCAGCACTACTGGTTCCCCCAGAAGTGACGATGACGACGACGACGATGATGATGACGTCAACGAGAAGGCTAACTCTCAGAGTGTAGCCGTGAGCGGCCCCGGTAGTGCCCCTGCTGCCTCGGCCACTGGTGCTGCCTCTTCGGCTGGCCAGGCTGGTTCTACGGCCGCCTCTGCCGCCTCTTCTGCCGCCTCTGCCGCCTCTTCTGCCGCCTCTGCCGCCTCTTCTGCTGCCACCTCTGCCACTGCCGCAGTTGGTTCTGCCGCCGATTCTGCTGCGGCCTCTGCCACCGCCGCAGTTGGTTCTGCCACCGATTCTGCTGCGGCCTCTGCTACCGGCAATGTTGGTGTTTCCAATGGCGTTCCCATGGCCGGTGCCGCCATTGTTTTTGTTGCTGCTCTTCTTTAGGGAACATTTCTATAATGTTATGTATTTACAGTGTCGTTTGCTACCGTAGTTTAGTGACCCGTTGTTTACTCCTTCAGCCTTCCATGAACACTTCATTCAACAGCCATCAGTTCCCGGGTGACACATCACACTCGGTTCTCAGAGACGGACAAATCGCTCCTCCCACCGGCGAAACCGATGTGCAGCTCTTCACCACCTTTTGTGCTCTCAACGAATCTCTTGTAGCAACACAGAAGCGCCTGGAGAATCTCCAACAACAGATTCAGCAGGAAGTGCACAAACTGGAGAAGACGAAACAGCATTATCGCCAGCTCAGGGAGATTAACAGGGAGTTGATAGCGGGGGAGGGAAGGACAAGAGAGCAGGCAATGGACAGGGAGCAGGCAAAGGAGAAGGGTAAACTGGAACCCATTCCAAGAGGGTGGCTCAAGGAGAATAATTACCATATGGAACGATCTCAATAGAGCCGCTCTCCTGGTATGGGTGTGATGGGCTCTTATGGTGTCAATTGGGCTGTATCGTAGCTACATCAAGTATCTATGGAGGAATATGGTTCCCTCGGTCTACAAGAGGTAACCCAGAGTTGAAAGAAGATGGTCAGTTGGCCAAAGACTCTGTCGAGTATCATTCATTTCGAACATCTTGTTTGTGACATCATGGGTAACTCAGACTGTATATGCTACAATAATGTCAACTAGAGCTTAACTAAATGGGAATCTGAGAATTGTGCAGAATCGCCTACCTGTCTAGATATGGGAACAAAATACAACAATTTTAAAACATATCTGATTATAGTGAACATCCTGTTCATTCTGAACGTATTCCTGTATCAATAGAATGTCTGGAACCTCATTTTTGAACCCCCAGCAGAACTTTTTATCTAACTAAATCTTAAGTAATTTGAGAAAAATGGTGATGGGCTACATAGAATCCTGGAAATGGTAGGACATTCGATTTGCACGAGATATAGAGGATAAAATGAGAACATATAGAAGGTCTTGATAGGTTATAAATACATAAAAATCAATTTATTCTGTAAGGATATATATTATAAGATCAGAAATACTGCATCTGTTGTTTCAACTAAAACTTAACTATTATCAATATATACTCCAAGTAATAATGGAGGTCTTGATCAATACATGCTACAGTCCGCCTCATACCCGCCACAAAGAATAGTACAAGCAAAATGTTGACCAACTATTTATACACGCAAAAGGATCACCCAATGCCCCATTGAACACACCAAAGCCATGTATCCATGTAATTGTGGTGTCTCCAAGTTTCCTCTTAGCGACTATACAATATAGCAAAAGCAAAGATATCTATTTGAACGGTTAACAAGCAACAATAGAGCGAGAGACAGTAATAATCCTGTCTAATAACTTCAAAAGATCCAATAACTTCAAATTATCCGTTATCACTCTTCTCTTCCCCCCATATCTCCATTTACCAGTGTAATGGTAAGATGTTTGTGGGTCAGATCTGGACTTGTGATCACAGTGAACTGATTATCTAGTAACAAATACGTTCTACAGACGTAAAAACTACAAATATATTCATTTAGACTGTTCACGTGATTGCCTCATTGATCCAAGCCCACGTATTTCCCCAAACAATCGACTTGCTCCCGGTAGTACCAATCTGTCTCGGTTGGTCTCAGAGTCCCTTCAAGAAACGAATATTGGTAGAGAGACTCATGTGACCAAGCTATCCTTCGCGTGACTCCCCAAATACACGTGACTCCCCCAATCCACGTGCCAAAAACTCAAGATCTGATATCAAGGGACTGCATAATCAACTCCTATCCAAAATAGTCAAAAACTGATATAAAGGCGAAAGACGCTTTATCATATTCACCAAGCAGTGTATAAGAAGCCGAGACTTCTTTGTTATTGTTTACCGGTGCGGTGTAATACATTCTGCACTCCTGTCTATGCTCTACCACTGTCCAGCTCCTATGAGAGGGGCATCTACTGGACTATCAAGACCAATCAAACACATGACGAGTTCTGAACATGAATTTTGTTTGCCAGATGACGTTACTGCTGCACGTCTTTCCATTGTCAAATCAGTTCCAAGTCGCCAACTACATTCTTCCACTGTAACTGTATAGGTCTTCAATGATACATCTTCTAATTGGCCAAGGAGACAAGCCAGAAGTATGGGGAGTTCTGCAAAGGATTTAAAAATACGATTGAAACATATCAACATCTCAATTTTTATCTCAACCATCTCCTAATATGTTCTTGTTCGTATAGAATAGTGAGTTCCAGACCAGAGGTGATGAAGATCACAACTTTACCAATTGGGGGCATAATAATGAAAAAATTACTACACTTATAACTAGTACCATTATAAATAAACCTGACTTGTCCTCTTAGAAATTACTAGAAAATTGACAGAGATATGGGCAAAAGCAGAATTGTTATGATTTCTGACATTTAGACTTACTTAAATTGTTATCTAAATGCAACACAATACTTGACACTTTACTTAACTGGGGGAAGAATATGGGACTAAATGCCCCCCAATCACCGTTTACCACAAATAACAAACCGAGTTCCACCAGAACTCGAACTCTCTCATATATTATCATGTTTATTCTATTCCAATGTATCATGACGATCTGCAGATCATGGTGTGATTTGATACACTCTCGTCAAGACTTCTGACACTGTTTACCAGAGCGATAATGAAATTGTCTACAAAAATATAGAAAAAATGTGTATTTAAATCAATCACTTCAATATCTGAGACTGTCAATTATCTTTTCAGCCAGTTATCCCGTCACTTTTGGACTCTGGTACAACTCCAAAAGGTTGGGCAAAAAGTAACCAGAAAAAGCACACAAATAATTTGTTTTCTACCCGAAGAATTAAAAACTTTGGCCAGATACTAGTTGGACCGTCACGAGATATCCCGCACCACGTGACCTCCTCGTACTCTCTTTCTCTCTGGTCGTTGCTTTTTCCTTTTCTCAACTCTGAGTCAGTTGTTGGGCTCCTCTCTGTGCAAATATATGTATGCTGTGTTCTTTGCATCGTACATGAAGCAGCCAGAAAAGGGGTGAATAAAAGCGTGCGCTACGGCAATTATTGCACTATATATTTGAGACAACAATGAGTTGGTACCAACCAAGTACATTGTGCAGTTGTGCATGTTTAGGGTGTCCAGGAGAGGGTGTCTTTGAGGAGTCTTTGAGGCCTCAAAATTTACCAGAACACTATCAAAGTTCCTTGGTTGCTCATTGATCCAAGTTGGAGACGTTTGGTGAACTCGGGGTCATCACTCCTTCTCTCCTTCTTCTCCTGGAGGTCTTCTTCAACCCAACCTACAACACATGCGGCCATGTGCAAACAACGTACAGTAGGTTACTGTAGTCACACATGTCTACAGAGAAGATCCTGTTTGCTTTTTTTAGCCAATTATATGCATGGAAAGAATGTATTCATGGAATGCGAGTCTATGTGCTCTCTTGTGCTTCTCAAGAGGCTTCTATGTGCTCTTCTGCACAGATTCGTATTGTACTGTAACGTAACCTGCACAGGAATGAGCAGGGCCTGGTAAGAGTGGAACCACCTGTTTAATTTGTCTGTTGTTTGTTGTTTTTGCCCTGCACAGGCCGCATGGAAGCAGTTTGGTGCATGTCTGACTTGGAGCGACACCCTGGAACATCTCTTGAGTTGACGAACTGTAGCTGTACTCGCTCGTACACAATGCGCTATACGGATAGAAAACAATGCAGCTTTGAAGGTATTGAACCACAAATGATGATAATCATCACGTATTATAATAAAAATCGCATATTATGAGCCCGTGATGGTCCATTGAGCCCGCTATCCTTTGTCTCACTCGTCTGGAACATGTCTCACTTGGGTTAGGGGGACACACGGAGGAGAGGTTTCGAGGGCTTCTACAAGGGTCTGTAAAGGCGGAGGAGTTGGTCATGTGATATAATTGGGGGAGTTGTAGTCATGTGAACTGTCAAAAACCTCCTCCTGGGTTTGTCCGGTTCTCATTTTGAGGTGTGGACACTCCCGATACTGCCCTATAGACACTCCAACTATTGGACATAATATGTGAATGACATGTGTGTTTGAATACGAGAAAAGGCATCCGCCGGCCCAGACAGCTATTATGCCCTGCATTAGTCGGATATTTGGCGCGTGTTTCATCGGAAACGTCATAATGGTGACATTACTGCTGCTTGCACTGCACTTGCCTGGTAGGTGCAGTGGTGGAACCTTGCCTGGGGGTTTGAGACACATACAGAGGACGAAGAAAGAAGGGGATTGGTTTTATTTAATCGTTTATTTAGTATTTTCTGCTGCGGGCTCTCTGTTGGTCAGTAAGTTGAAACAGTTGTCAATTTTGTTAAAGAGCGAATGTTAAGTAATGGTTGTTGATAATCTGGGATTCTAGTTAGTTTATTGTTGGGAGAATATGTTTTCAAGTAATACTCAAGCAAAAATATAAGCAGACATTTCGTCGGTTTCAGAGACTTTTTTGGAGCTAGATGAACACAATTGTGTTAAATAGATGACTACGAGAACAATATACTCTTGGGAATATTGACAAACCTCTTCCACGTTGAGATAGAGAGAGTGTCTCAAAGCACTTTTGTTAGACTCTGTCAACAGGGATATTAATTGTATAAAACTCTCTGTTGTGACAGTAAAAAGCTACCCAAGTCAATCAACCAACTACTTGCAACTCTTACAATTTATAAACGCTTCTTGTCTCCATCTCTTACGCGCCAAATCAACCTCGTTTGTTTGGTTGTCATTGATTGAAGTTCTAAACTTGATTGGTGAGCGAGTGGTATATAACGGTCTTGAAAGGTATTATTTGATTTTATTGAGCTTTTATTACTTGTAGTTACTCGTATGAATCGTGTATGCCAGTGCTACCGTTTCAAGATCTCGATCTTCGATATCCACCATGAATCTTTCAGAGACCTGCTGAAGAAAAAATGGGTTAGATGGAAGCATTGAAAG